CTCGTCTATCTCGACTTGAGCCAGAACTGGTTTCGCGGCCCACTCCCGGAGAACATCTCCATGATCCTCGGTCATCTCCCACTTCGCAGGTTGGATCTCTCCTACAATGCCTTCACTGGACCCATGCCCGACGCTCTTGGAGAACTTCCCACCACCCTCCAGGAGCTCGTCCTCAGCGCAAATCTCTTCACGAACTTGACCCCCAGCCTCGGCCGTCTCTCCAACCTCACCTTTCTCGACGTCTCGTCCAATATTAATCTCCTCCGTGCCTTCATTCCTCCCGAGCTTGGCAATCTCACAAGGCTTGTCCGGCTGTATCTGTTTAACTGCGGCCTCGTTGGAACCATTCCACCCGAGCTAGGTGCCTTAAAAGAGATCGAAGACCTCGAGCTCCAGTCCAACAATCTCACCGGCAGCATTCCGGTTGAGCTCATGTACCTTCCTAAGCTGAAGATGCTCGAGCTCTACAAAAACAAGCTCTCGGGTCAGATTCCATATGAGATTGGCAACCTCATGCTGCTTACTGACTTGGATGCCTCCGAGAACGCTTTAACTGGCAGCATTCCTACACAGGTTGGAGGGCTAAAAAATCTGCGGATACTTCATCTCCACTTGAATCGCCTGACAGGTAGCATCCCAGAAAGTCTTGCGGATTTGGAAAACCTCGAACAATTCACAGCATTCGCAAACAACCTGACAGGTAAAATCCCCGAGTCCCTAGGAAAAAAAGCCAGGCTCAGCTACGTCACACTCTCACAAAACAAACTTACCGGAGGTGTGCCACCTTTCATCTGCGGTGGAAATGCTCTGCAAAACCTGAGCCTGTACGGCAACATGCTGTCGGGAGGAATTCCTGAGAGCTTCAGCGATTGCAAAAGCTGGGTGCGATTGAGGCTGCAAGACAACCATCTCGAAGGCCCTGTTCCGCCAAAGCTCTGGGCCTCCCCCAACCTGACCGTCTTGGAGCTCTCTTCCAACAGGCTCAACGGCAGTGTGACTTCCGATATCAAGAACGCTGCACAGCTAGGAATTCTGAGGTTGGATGGTAACAAGTTCGAAAGTTTACCGGACGAGCTGGGAAACCTGCCGAACTTGATCGAGTTGACGGCCTCGGATAACTCAATCTCCGGATTCCAGATTGGGAGCTGTGCCTCTTTGGAAGCATTGAATCTGTCTCACAATCGTCTGTCCGGCGCTATACCAGCAGATATTAGAAACTGCGTGAGGCTCACTTCACTTGACTTCTCCGCAAACAGTCTGTCTGGCTCGATTCCATCGTCACTGGCTAGCCTTTCCAGGCTCAACATGCTGGATCTTTCCAACAACCACTTGAGTGGAGACGTTCCATCTGCTCTGGGAAATCTTCTGCTGTCCAGCTTGAACATCTCCAATAACAACTTGAGCGGCCGTATTCCTGAGAGCTGGACTCGAGGCTTTTCGGCTGATAGCTTCTTTGGAAATCCTGATCTCTGCCAAGACTCGGCATGCTCCAATGCAAGAACCACCAGCAGCAGCAGAAGTGCCAACAGCGGTAAGAGTCGCTTCTCGGTTACACTGATCTCGGTTGTTGTTATCGTTGGAGCCGTCGTCTTGCTTCTCACTGGCAGTCTCTGCATCTGCTGGCGCCACTTCAAGCTCGTGAAACAGCCACCCCGTTGGAAAGTGAAATCGTTCCAAAGGTTGTTCTTCAACGAGTTAACTGTCATCGAGAAGCTCGACGAGAACAACGTTATCGGGACTGGCCGGTCTGGGAAGGTGTATCGAGTTGATTTGGCAAGCGGACATTCTCTAGCAGTGAAGCAGATATCACGATCAGATCATTCCCTCGGTGATGACTACCAGTACCAGTCCGAAGTCAGAACTTTGGGCCACATAAGACACCGTAGCATCGTCAGGCTGTTAAGCTGCTGCTGGAACGCTGATACGGACCTGCTCATCTTCGAGTATATGCCGAACGGCAGCCTGAGAGACGTCCTACACAGCAAGAAAGTCGCGAACCTGGACTGGAACACCCGCTACAGGATCGCTTTGAGAGCAGCACAAGCTCTATCATACCTTCATCACGATTGCTCCCCGCCGCTCCTGCACAGAGACGTCAAGTCAGCCAACATTCTGCTGGACGCTGACTACGAACCAAAGCTAGCAGACTTTGGAATCACAAAGCTACTCAAAGGTAGCGACGACGAGACAATGACCAACATTGCAGGTTCCTACGGCTACATTGCTCCAGGTATGCATCATGTCTAAGCTAATTCCTTTCCAACCTGTCCTTCACCTCTCAGAGTACACCTATACCTTGAAGGTCAGCACGAAAAGCGATACTTACAGCTTTGGAGTCGTCCTGCTGGAGCTAGTGACAGGCAAGAGGCCAGTTGACAGTGAATTTGGAGACCTGGATATCGTCAGGTGGGTAAAAGGCAGAGTGCAAGCGAAAGGACCGCAAGTTGTTCTGGATACCCGAGTGAGCGCCAGTGCACAGGACCAGATGATAATGCTGCTCGACGTTGCTCTTCTTTGCACAAAGGCGTCTCCAGAGGAAAGACCAACGATGCGCCGGGTGGTGGAAATGCTGGAAAAAATACAGCCCGAAGCTTGTTACTCTCCATGCACAAAGGAGGAAATGTTCTCACCGGCGAGCACGTCTGGGTCGACGTCTCCATGCAGCATCCCAGAATACGTGTGAGGTTCTTCGTCTTCATTCGCTCGCCTTCGTGATGGAGACAAAGCTCTCAAGGCTTTCATCTTGTCGTTCGATGGCAATCCTCCTTCCCGTAACTCTTACCCCTTCCAGGTTCTGTCTCGCGTTGAGAAGCTCCTTGTCAAAACTCGTATACTCTAGAGATCTCCTCTGCTTATCTAGCTGCTGATACTTCTCCAGCCCTTCTTCTCTTCACCTTGAGCCTTTCTTCAATGTCCTGCACCTACTACATAATATTAGCTGTCTCTTTTTGCACCAATTTCCTTACGAAGATTCACTGACTTTCATGATACATAAGTTGAGCGCCATTGCCTAAATGATAGGTACCAGGTGATGTTGTTGAATGCAAGAAGACTCTGATGAATCCAGCAGCGCCCATGGGCAAACCCTACTAACCTAAGTCGCCAAAATTATTTTTTCCGCAGATAGAGAAAAATGTGCTCTATCTCATACAACCCATGAGGGTATAATCCCAATGCTCCACCAAATGCTTTTCCATCCGCTCGTCTGGGACACCCGTAAGTCAGCAAAGCTATGCTCTCAAAAACTGCATGCTCTCCTTGGATCTTGGTATTCACTTCCAGTTCTCTTTCTCAAATGCCAAGGAACTACCTTCATAGAATAAAAGCCACCGTTTCCATAGATACAGATCTGATAGGACAAAAATGAACAGCCTGACGTAAAATCCTGGAATTGCAAAAGTTTGATGTGTTTGATGAACCATCTATTCCACCAAACCTCTCTTCCAACAGGCTCAACGGCAGCTTGATGGCACACTTGCCAGAAAACCTGCCGAACTTGGTGGCCTAAGAGGCCAGCTGAAGCACTACAACCGGAAGCTTATTACTCTCCATGCACAACGGAGGAAATGTTCTCACCGGCAAGCACGTCTGGGACGTCTCCATGCAGCTTCCCAAACGTTCGTCTTAATCCGCTCGCCTTCGTCCGTGACAACAAGATGGAGAATAAGCTCTGAAGGACTTTTAACTTGTCGTTAGATTGGAATCCTCCTTCCCCAGATTCTTACCTCTTCCAGCTTTTGTGCGCGCCGAGAAGCTCCTTTTCAAATCTCGTGTGTATCTAGCTGCTGATCCTTCTTCAGCTCCAACCTCTCTTCAAAATATTGCACAAGGTCAGTGATCTGTTTGCTCTGTACAACATTCAGGTATGACACACTTCAGATCTAGATGTCGATTTAGAGGTCAACTGTGTCCTGCACAATCTTGAGGCTCTCCTTTCGCTCTTGCCAACGATCTCCTTATAAGATTCAAGACATTCACTGTCTTGAATAAGTTGAAACTACTCGTCTTTCTTCGTCCTGAGGCGAACTTCTTCGTTGTCGACCTTGAAAGACAATTTAATTACATTCAAGTATACTTTTATGGTTGTCAAATTAGAACAAATGCGGACACTTCCTAAAGCACATGAAGAAGTTCTTGTCTGTCTTCAGTTCGAACAGGTCGCTGAGGCTGGAAAAAGGAAGAAGACCACCAAATAAAATCTAACTCGCCGTGGAAAATTGCGAGAGACAGAGAGAGAGAGAGAGAGAGAGAGAGAGAAGAAAACAAAGCACTCCACAAGAGAAGGCAAGAAAAAGAAATCTAATAGAATGAATGCGTACCAACACGACCGTGCTTAAAAGGCTCAGCAGCGACTCGATCAAATCACAGATGGATGAACTCACAATTCCTCGTGAGGTTCTAAGTCTCATCCATTGCTGCATCCACTCACTCCTGGCTGGTGTCTGGAACCACAACCCCTCTACAGTTGCTCAAGATTTAGGAAGCGGGACTGGTGGAAAGTATACCAATATCGGGGGATCAAGATTTGAGGACATGCTGCTTACAGATGGGATTGAGCTCCCGGAACGTTGCTCATCTTCCAATCTATGCTTGACAGGATTCTTGTAGTTTGGAAAGGGCGGAGTACGCGGAATCTCTTTGCATGAATATGGCTAACCAGAAACCTCTGAGGAGCCACTTGAACCAGGCTTGTAAGTTACCTGCGATTAACAATAATGAAGAGTTTTATGGAGACGGCCTTGGAAAGACAATTGCTTCACCACTGAAGAGTTGCCTAAGTTCATCTTTGACGATGAAGACAAGTATTCAATCTGGCAGCAGTGGCGTGCCCTGACTTATACTGTAGCTCACGAAGAGGAGAATCAAACATCACGGCCTCCAAGGAGAAGGCTGTGGTGGACGTGCAAAAGGCTTTGGAGAGGCTGGAACTCATGCGCCATAAGTTCAGAACTGAGATTGTCCGTTTGACGTTTTTGCCAAGGAGCCAAACACGGATCATCTGGTTCTTGATGCACGGAAGGTGGCATTTCATGTGAAAAAATTTCGGCTGCTACATAAACTCGAAAGCAGTATCAGAACACATCTGTTGGCCATCCTCGCTCCACACGAAGTTAACCATCATCACGAGAACAGCGTTATCGGGAGTGGCCGGTCTCCTCGGTGAGGACTACTAAGTCAGAACTTTGGAGACACCGGAGAATTGTCAGGCTGTTAAGCTGCTGCTGGAACTCTGATAGGGACCTGCTCATCGTCGAGTACATGACAGCGTGGGAGACGTCTTACACAGTGAAAGAGTCACAAGTCTGGACTGGAACCGCCGCTACAGGATCGCTTCCAAGCTCTATCAGAGTGATCCTCGCCATTCCTGCACAGAGACGTCAAGTCAGCCAACATTCTGCTAGACGCTGACTACAAACCAAAACTAGCAGACTTTGGAATCACAAAGCTACTCAAAGGGAGCAACGACGAGAAAAATGACCAGCGTTGCAGGCTCCTACTGCTCCAGGCATGCATCGTGTCCCTTTCAAACCTGTCCTCCACCTCTCGGAATACCTTAAGGGTCAACACGAGGAGCGATACTTACTGGTAATTTGGAGACCTCGATATCGTCAGGTGGGCAAAAGGCAGATCGTACGCGGAAGGACCGCAAGTTGTTTCGGATCCCCGACTGAGTGTCAGTGCACAGGACCAGAGTGATAATGCCGCTCTCCTTTGCACAAAGGCGTATGCGCCAGGTGGTGGAAGGCTGAAAAATATACAGCCAGGATACGTTCCATCGACGAAAAAGGAAATATGTTCTCACCGGCAAGCACGACGTTTCCATGCAACATCCCAGCAGACGTGTGAGATTCTTCGTCCTCATTACTTGTCGTCGCTCGCCTTCGTCCGTGACAATAAGTCCTTCATGAGGGAGAAAAAGCTCTGAAGGGCTTTCATCTTGTCACTAGATGGCAATCCTCCAGCTGGTAGCAATTTGCGGCGACGAGTTTGTTCTTTGCTCACGTCTTTCAATAATTCAGCAACCTGTAGTTCTCTCTGAGATCTCGCCCGTGAGATCTTAACCATCTCCGCAATCAAAGTTTTCATTCTGGCCAAAGATTCCTGCTTCTGCCTTCTCCTGTTTTCCTCAGCTTCCTCGTAGTTTTTCCGGACTATAGTGAGCTCGTCTTCTAACACAACGATTCTATTCTTTGCTTCCTTAAGCTCCGCCTGTTCGGCCTGTCTTATTTCCTCGAGCTCCTTCATCTGTTTCCGGGCCTTGGCCAGCTTCTTGCGCAGGCTCCTTGTTTCGGCTTTCCAATCCTTCCTTAACTGATTCAAAAGCTTCTCCTTATTATCAAGTTCAGCTGCCAGCACTGCTGCCTTTTTCTGTATTTCCTGCAGTCCGTGAGAAAATTCTTCCACCACGTCATTTACAGCGAGTTGCAGGTCTTCCATGTTGGTCGCTCGTTCGGCAATTTCACCTCTCAGCTGAGACACCTTTGAAAGCATAGCAATTTAGCAGTAAGTTAATGAAAAAGACATCAGATACATATACCTTGGCCACAAACTCCCCTTGTTCTTTGAGGAGATCTTTCTTCACAGTACTCAGAATATTTTCTTTCTCGGCCAGCTCTCTTGTCAACTGCAGCACAGTGGACTGCGTTTCTTGTAAAGACTCCTGTAGCTTTTTTATCTGGCACATTTTATATATCGAAAAGATCAAAACGCAAATGCCTCATAAAGTATTACCACTGACTCATGAACCTCCAGAGGAACTGTTTGGACGAGCGCTGTCTCAAGCCTGCGTAGCTGCTGCTCCGCAACCTCCGCTTTCTGTACCTCAGACTTCAACGCTTTCACTCCGTCGTCCAAACCAGTAATGTCTTCGGCCCCCGGTCTTTGTCCGAAATTCAATGGCTCTTCGTTAAACATTCCAACATCCCTGGCCGTGAGCTGAAAAAAACGACCACCAAATAGGAGCGTCATTAATGAAGTAGTAACCGACAACGAGAAAAGTCGGGTCGTTCAGCTGTACCTGTTGAATAACTCGTCGCTCAATCTCCGCTCGAACGGAAGCCATAGTCGCAGTCTAGAACGAAAACAAGAGAGAGGAGTGAATAAAGCGATCGCTACGTAACGCACAAAAGACTTGTGAGACGCGAGCAAGAAAGATGGCTGGTTGCTGACCTTGGTGACTGGCGCACTCATCTCATAAACGGGCTTGGTGACAGGAACGAGCGCGCTTTCACGCTTCAACGAGTTCATAACATCCTCGCTTGACTTGTCGGTGACTAACTCCGCAGCCACAACTTCCTCGTCCTCGTCGGCGTAAGGAACGATGGAAGTAGAGGCCGTGGCCAGGCGAATTATGTTAGCCAACGAGCATTGCTCTCTTTGCAGAGCCTGAAAGAAAGAGAGAAACCAAAGAACACGAGTTATAGGCTACTCCACCACCGCAAGAGGCAAAGGAAGAAAACTTACATTTAAAGCCGCCAAGAGCTGCGGTGGGACGCTTCTTCCACCATACATTGCTTGCTCCACGCCCTTGGTCAGCAAATCGAGCCTGTCCACCAGGCGATTCACTCGCTCCTGGATATTCTGGCCGGAAATGCGGCACCGCGATATCTGGCTTAGCCCGATCCCGATGTCCTCGATCTGCTTGAGCACCGCATCCGCCCCGGCGCCTCCATTCCCGGAATTCAATCCCCGGCGCTGCTGCTGCTGCGAGAACGTACCGATGCGCACGGCGTCCAGCTGCTGGACTTCGGCCCTCCCGAATCCAGCGCTGCGGCATCCAGCGCCGCTCCACCTCCATCGCGGCCGATACCCTAGCCCAATGCCAATGCCCGCCATAGCCATTTTGGAAATTTTTAATCTTATCCGCGAGAACTCGAAACCCGGACCTCATTCGCAACGTGCCGTACAGAGGTCTCCGTACGAACGATTTTTTTTTCTTTTTTCTGTTTAAAAGTGTGGATTAGGGTTCTAGTTTAAACTTCCCAGCTGTTTGACGCCTTTTGTGGCACATGCGCGTCGCAGAGGCGCCATTTCTTGTCAAGTCCACCCCCGCGGGATTGAATTGGAATTGAATGATGGCATCTTGGACTGGCCAACTTGGCCCTCGCTTCTCCTTTTCTTTTAGCTTGTGGATTATCACAAGTACTTTACAAGTTCCTCAAGGATCACACCGCGCGATTTGCGAGCACTAGGCCTCTCTAAACATTTCTTTGCGGCCCAGTATAATCCAGGCACTTGCACGCTCTGGTGGATCGAATCAGGAACTCATTTGATTATCGAGCCAGCAGCAACACACCAAAGGTTGCAATTTGCACAGCAGAAAATCATTTTTTTCTTCCCTCCCCCTCTTTTCCCCGCTGATATCTTTGCGATGATAAATAAGTTTGCTTTCAGGTGGATGCATGTGGCCAAAGTGCCCAGAAATGGTTAAATTTGCATTGCTCCTTCTGCACTGCCCATGTTCGCACCCGCGTGCACCTCCGTCAAAACAAATGCCCTAACCACAACAAAAGCGGAGTACGTTCGCCGCAAAATTATACACTTCAAACCTTGACCCCCACATGCATGCATGCGCGCTTTGCCACCTTTGCATGGCACGTACCGGAGAACGACTTTACATTCAGGGCGCAGACCCATTTGCATCTGCTGCCACCCACGAATCAATCAAGATTATCTTAACAAACTGGAAGATTACAACAATTTTGGAGTTGATTTTTTCTTTTCTTTCCAAGGAAACAACCGACACCACGAGGCATAGAGCACAGTCCCAGTGGGGTTGGCGCACACAGACGGCCTTGAGTCGCTTTCTATGGAGCACCCGACAACATTAACTCGCTACCTTCCCTTCTACTTCAAGGTATGGATGCAATGTCCCACCTAAATTATACCGTGGGAGGATTCGGGGGGGACCTTAGCGGCTGCATTTTCATCATCAGGATTGGAAAACATTGAAAGGAATTAAGAAAAATGCCATGATATTCTCCAGCTTTCTTTTGCTAAATTCTCATAATTTGATTCTTCTTTCGATCTAAATGCTATCGGAAACTCGCAAATTCCAAAACCACACAAAGCATTCAAGGAAATAGGAACAAGGGATTTCTTTTTCTCTCCCCTTGCACTGTCGTGAATGCGGCGATATTTTTCTTGCTCAGAATATTTCTTTTTTCTTTTTGTAGTATATCTTCCCGGCCACTTCCGCCACCTTTCATCAATCTCTCTGGGCTCGCTGCAATTGAAATTCAAATTCTCGCCCAGCCCAGCCCAGCCCAGCCCAGCCCATGAGGACGAAAGAGGGAAGAACGCCGCGAAAAACACTACAAACCGGGGAAGACTGGATGGACATGGTGGTGTGCAGTGCAGATTTTCAGCTTTTTGGAAGAGGGAGGAAAGAGAATAGGCATTAAAAACAAGCAGCAATCACAGCACAGCTCGGATCGCCCTTGCTTGCTGCACGCAGCCAGCGCAACAAGCACAGCGTTTTGTCCGTGCACGAACAAGCAACAAGAAGTTGAAATCACTTCCCACATTCACTCGCCTTGAACAGGTAATTGCGGTGAAAGAGAAAATACCTCCAAAATCTTCTCGGCAAAAACCATAGAGTTTAGAATCAATCAACTTTCTTCATCATCAATCTCTTAACTTAAAGCTGGAAGACAAGGCCTGTCCCTGGAGGGCACAGAGCTTAAACTAAGCAGCTTTGCTAGCCATCTACGTTGGAAAGGGAGAGCTGGGAAAAAAGCAAAAAAAATATGAAGTAGAGAGAAAGAGAGAGAGAGAGAGAATGGAATCGACTCGACTCAACTTCGATGACAATGACGATGATCGATCACCGACAAGTCCACCAGAAAAGAAAACCAAAGCGAGCGGCGCCAGAGAGAGAGAGAGAGAAGAAGATCACCGATCACACGGCATAAGTTCCGTACTCGCGCCGTATGCTGGCACCCCTACCCTGCCCCATTGAATCTGCAATGGACAATCAATCCTGCCCTGACCGACCAGACCGGCACACGGACGGATGCTTCCCCGTCCCTTCTACAAACTTTCCTCGCTCGTCTCGGCTCGAGCTCTCCCATCTCCAAAACAAATGCCCGAGAGCTCTGTTGTAGTAGCAGACCACGAATTGGTGATCAATCCAATGAATCCAATCCCAAAACTGGGCTCTCCGCCAACTTTCGCAAAGCCAAAACCATCCCAGAGACATGGTTCTCCTGTATCCTGGCCAGAAAGCCTCCGCTCTCTCCCTCGCCTAGCTCTGCACGACGTTGTAAATCAAGCCACCGTCTAGGACCTCTCCACCGGTCGGTGCCGGGGCCGAGCTGGAGCTCGGGCTCAAGCTCGGGCTGCGCGGGCTCGGGCCCAAGAAGCGCGGATGTGACGACTCCTTTTGGCGCCGCATCTCCAGCACCTTCCTGTGGGAATTGGAGTGGACCTCGGACAGGAAGGTCGGGCTGAGAGCCGGCCTATACTCGGGGAAGAGTCTGCCCGACTTAAACCTCACGCCACACGCGTTGCACAGCGTCTTGGGCCCCTCGGGCCCGGCTCGCCATTGCGGGGTCTTCTGGCTCAAGCAGTGCGTACACCTCCGTGGCTGGACTTCCACTCCTCCGATTGTCATTCCTCCTCCGGCGGCTGGGCCGTTCGTGGACGCGATGATCGAGGAGCCCAGTGGCGGCTTGCCGGTGGCGACGGCAGCGATGGAGGTCTTGTTGGTGTTGCACAGCGACGAGGCGGAGGAGGAGGAGGGGGAGGTGGCGGAGGAGGTCGAGCCGCCGGCGGTGATGGTGTCGGGCTTGATAGTGGACGACTCCACCGCGTCTTGCTCGTCCGAGGACGCCAGGTCCTTGTCCGAGATGGAGCTCGTGGCCGGGGACGACGAGAAGCTCGTCACATTGTTCCCGGTGGTGGTGTTGATGATCATGATGGCCTCGCCGCCGCCACCCACGACACCGCCGCCGCCGCCGCCACCGCTGCTGCTGCTGCTGCCCGGATTGATGAGCGACGAGGAGCTCGTGTTCCATGTCGAGGAGCTGCGCAGCCGCTTGCTCCGGGGCCGCCCCGGCACGGACAAGTCCTTGGCGGCCGCCAGCCTGCCCGAGGTGGCGCTGCTGCTCTCCAGCACCGAGATGGGACTCCCGACTTGGAACTTATCTTTGCTGCCCGTCGTGGCGATCGTCGTGGTGGTGGTGGTGGTGGTGATGTCGTCCAGCAGGAGGAGGCTGTCGATGTTTCTCTTGTTCGTGGTGGTTGTGTTGGTGGCGGCGCTGCTGTTGATGATGGAGGAGCTTGCGAAGCTCGATCCTTTGCTCCCAATGAACATACTCTTGTGCAATTCATCGCCCATGTTGGTGAAAGTGTCATCGTCGACGAGGCTCGAGAGCCATTCCAGCTCAGGCATCTCATCGCACTGGAAGAACAAAAGAGAAGACGTTTAGATGGTGTTCTTCCAGCGGGAACGCGAGGAAATAGAAGTGAATGGCTCTTACATCGATGGGGAATTCGTTGCTGGGCTGTTGCTCGATGCCATGGTGGTGCTGGTGGTGGTGGTGATGTTGTTGCGCGGCGGGAGGAGCAATGGGAGCGGCGCTGGCAGCGGCGATGGAATTCTGGTGGTGGACTTCCTCGCCAATCGGCCCGGCAATGTCCTCGTTGGAGAAATCCAAGAGGTCCTCGATATGAAACGGGTCGAGAATGCTGCCAGTCTCGGGCTCCCACGCCGTCACAGCCGCCGCCCTCTTAGCGGCGCCGCTCTCCTGCTGCTGCTGCTGCTGGGACTTGTCGACGAATGTGCTCGCCACCTCCATCATCCTCCTCGGTCGCTCAAATGGGTCCTTGGCAGTGGACGATTTCCAGCCGACCTGATCAAGCATGGCCCCGTCAATGGATTTGTCATCACAAATTCATGCGAATGCGAGAGAAAAGATGGGGAGAACACGAAGAACACAAATAAAAGAGCTGGGCTTTACCTGGGCGGACCAAAATGGGTCGCGCAATCGCCCAAATAGAAATGTGGGCGCTCCTTATATGATCAATCTAAATCAATCCTACCCTCCAAACCAAACAAGGTTTCTCGTCCAGAGTTCCTGGAAGTTGTTCTTTAGCTCTCGCTCGAATCGAAAGGAGGAGAGGAAAGAGAGAAGCAAAGAGGAGAGATTGAGAGAGTGTGAGTGAGAGAGTGAGTTCTTGCTGCTTCCTTTCTCGTATGAGGCGGAAAATGGCAACAAAGAAAAGCTCAGCTCTAAGGCTCCGCTCCCCTAAAAAATTTGAATGCCCGCTTCAGGCATTTTTGGGGTTGGGATGATCCTTCCCATGTTCTTCCATTGTTGGGTCCCCTTTTTTTTTTACCTTTATTTTGAGTTTTTATTTTAAAAAAAAAGGTAGGTGAATTTTTTTGTTGTGAGTGAGCGCATAGATCGTGGGCGCCAGCTCGCCATCCTGACGCCAAAAAGACGACCGCTGAGCAGTGGCCAGCGTGTCGCAATCGCAGCCGCTGGGTTTAAAACCGACGCTGCCGATCGCGCCACCGGTGCCAGGCGGCGCCGCCGGTTAAGGGGGGGTTAAGCGTGGTGGCGCGCCGCGGGTAAAAAAACCTGGGCATTTTAACGTGACTAGCACTCACCCCCCACCGCATCTTTAAATGTGGGAGTTTGTAAAAGCCTTTTCGATTTTTCAAGTTTTAAGTTTCGCGCGCGGTCACATGACGGCCTTACAAAAGAAAAGTTAAAGATGCTGCAAAAGGTGGCGGGCGAATATGCCGCCCGGATCATTCGAATCGTCGCCGTCCGGTTTTGACGTTGCGCAAACTAAAATCTCTCTGCCCCCACATGCCACTGCTGGCTACATATTGACAAACTTGCCACCCTCGAGTTATTTTACGCCGTACAATACACATTCCTATAGTTTGATCTTTCACGCAACAAAGGGCATCATCAAACCAGCTGTGTTTGATTTCTAAGTTTGCAAGCTAGAGTAAGAATTCTGAGTTTGATCTTCTTTTGATTTGTCTAGTGATAGAACTAAGTTAATCCGGGCACGCAGGGAGGCACGTCCATTCCACGATGATTCTTAGAGACGATAACGACCGCTCTTCCAACATTTAATTCCAGGTGGAGGTGATGATGGTCACGTTAGTAGTAGTGGTAGAGAACACTATTCTAATAAAAAAAGGAGGGGAGAAGAGTATATAAGAATTTTTTGATTGATCGCCCAATAGCTGGAAGATCCTTTGACACAACCATACAAATCAAAGAACCAGGCTAAGTTAAATAAAAAGCATCTAAGAAACACTCAAACAAAATATATGCCTCCCACAAATCTTCACCACCACCACAGCTAGAAAACTTGCCGGCTTGCTTTTCCCTTCGTAAAAATCACCACCGACGATACAAATCACCGTAGGAACAAGCTCCGAAATCTCTCCTTCCATCACACCGCCACAGCTTCGATCCATCCCCTCCCCCCATTCCCGAGCAAAGCTATGCTGCCAAAACTTTTCTCTTCCAGTAGAACACTCGCAGCCTTTTCATCTTCAGGTGAAACCCAGTATATAGAGAGAGCTTTAGCTCCTCCATCGCTTCTTCGTTTTTTCCCTGTTGTTCTTACTTCGTTCTCCACCTTAACTTCCTTTCTGAGTCTCTGTACTTGTTGACAAGGCTGCCGCTGTTCCTGCCGCTGCCGTTGTAGCTGCTGCTGCCGCTGGCGCTGCTGTTGCCTCAGGGGGCGTCGGTGTCACTGGTACCACTGGCCGGACATATGAAAGGGACCGCTTCAGTCTGATCGGCCCCACGCTTGACCGAAAGCCATTCTTTGCTGCGCTCGACGGCCCCATTTGGCTGGCGCCACCATCTCGTTTCCACTGTAAATGTGGAGCACCTACGGGGTAAGGAGGCCTTACCAGACGGGGCGGTGGCCTCATCATATACGGTGACCCCCTCATAAACGCTGCTCGCGGGAACGCTGCTCTCATGGGCATTCGGACTGGTGGCCGAGGCCGCATGACTGCTGCTGCTGGGCTACTGGTTTCTGCTACGTTAGCATCCTTTCGAGCTACCTGAGAAGGGGAAAAGTGTCAATGACGGAGCGAGTTCCCATTTTAAACACAAGGCTTACCCGTATGGGTCTCGAAAGTAAACTCGACTCGTTTAGAGACAGGGCCCTGTCGGCTGCGTCCTTGGATGAAAACTCCACATACGCAGACCTGTGAGTGTTACCGTTTCAGATGGTGTTGAAAAAAGAAATATAAACAATGCACGCACCCCTTGGGTTTGCCGGATACTCCATCCGTTAGCATTGTCACCTTTACAACCTCGCCACAGGAACCAAAATGCGTGGAAATAGCTTCCTTCGTGGTCGCGAAGTGCACCTGGAAACAGATAAAAACGGTAACCCTTCTATAAACGAGAAAAGCGAGCTGCTTACGTTGGTCACCAGAATAACCTTGGAATCAGTATCATCTGATGAGGACTGGGGCGTTTTAAAACCTGTTTCGCAAAAGAGAAATTAAAATTTTGAGACTGCTCCTAGAGAAGAAAGGAACAGAGTAACTTACTTGTTAAAGGTGCGGTTTGCATAGACGTAGTGGCAGCTGGAACACTAGGAATGTTAGTAGTAGCCGCAGGAGGGTGTGGTGCCGAGGACTTTTCAGAAACTTTGGCAGCTTCGTCTTGCTTTGTCCGCAACTTAGTTACTTCAAGCTCCACTTGCCGCATTCTCCTCTTCATCTCCGTCACATCCTGCACAATGGAAACACAGGAGTAGATTATCAAGACAAAAACAAAAATACTACGATGTATACCTGCAAATCTTGGCCCTTTCCGTTGGGTATATCCACAAGCTTTTCCTGTTCTACACTAGTTCTTCTCTCCAATGGTAAGATATCCTTGTGCTTGGTATCGTCGTCCGTATGAAACACACGCTTGTACTGCAGAGGCTCCTCCACTTTCTTTTGGCGACGTTCCTTTCTCAAGGTGTGTCGTTTTGAAGGCTCTTTCTTGTTCAGAGATTCAGGCACCTCTTCAATCCGCCTCTCAAACTGCTCCCCATGATCATAAGCGTCATGTGATGCTGGTGGTGGTGGCGGCATAGCAGTATCCGCTGTACGTCGTTCTACCAAGCCAAGCCTGTCCGCCGTTCTACTCTTTCGCGTGTGTCGGTCACTCTTGCTATTCCGTGGAGCGCTGTCTACATGCACATATTCCATCTTTTCCGTGATCTCGTCAGCATCGTCAAGGTCTTGATCAGGTTGATCATCCTCATCACTCTTGTGTCCAAGACGATCCCAAATGCTCGCAGCAAATCGACTAACAGGCTTGCTCGCCTTCCTATTGTTTACGTCCTCAGCAGCAGCAGCCGCAGCTTTCAGAGCTATCATCATGGCTGGCGAGTTCTTTGCAGGTTTTGTTATAGCTGGCCGTGCCTTCAGCTTGCCATTCGAGTCCAACGGAGCGCCCGCATTTTCTACGTTTGAAAACCATGTCAGCTAAAAGGCAAGAGACAAAAGGTCAGAATTTTCGTACCGTGGTCAGCCGAGCCTGCAACAATAGATCTAAGCCGCTTTGTGTTTGCGTCCGCCACCCTTCTAGAGCCACCAACTGGAGCCACGGCATCTCTGACTGCGAACTCAAGTAGCCTCCGAGAAGCTTTCAATCGTGGAGCAGGAGGAGCAGGAGGAGCAGGAGGAGGAGAAACTCTCTCGATAGCGGAAGGCTTATCTTCCGCTCGACTTCGTCTCCTTCTCGCCCAACCCTCTGGAGAGCGGGAACGCTTTAGCTCTTGACGCAAGGCTTGCGGCTCCCGCTTTGTCACATGATTCTCCTCCTTTGCATTCTCTTGCGTCGGATTCTCCTTCTTCTCATTCTCTCCTTTATCTTTAGCCTCCGGAGTATCCTAGAAAACGCAACAACGCACGTCAAAAACACTCACCAAAAGCAAGTCCATGTACCTTTGGTAGCGCATCGTTTGCAGCCTTCTTCTCGCCTGCTTTGGTGTAAACGTGCAGATTTTCTGTCAAGTGCTCCCAAAGCCTACAATCAAGAAAATAAGAGAATTTTTAAAACTGGAAACAGCCCGACAAACTTCTGGAAAACTTCTCACTTCCACTGCGCCGGTCTGGAATACAAAGGAAGACGAAACTTACCAGGACACAAACGCTTCGCTCTGAACGCCGAGAAATGCCTCGAGGTCCGCAGTAGCTTGCTTTTGCTGCTTCCCATGCCCAACCAGCACCACCACATACTCCTGCATTCCCTCCCCTCAATGAACAAACGGAGCAAAAGAAGCAGAGGCAAAACATACCGCAAGAACTTCGTCCGTGTAGCTCCCCATGAATTCCGAGAGCTTGGTCTGGACGGTGCCGCGCAGGAGATCCGCCCCAGCGCTGGAGACATCGAGCGGGAACGTCCTGCTATCGTCCGCCTGCTCGTCGGGCAGCGGCGGAGGAACAAGAGGCGGACGAGGAGAAGTGGGAGGGGCGGTCGGCGCCTCCTCCGGCTGCAGTGCCTGCGCTTCCACACTAGCGCTCGCCATCGCGCCCTACGCCTGCCCTAAAAAAACCATGCCTGTGGAGCGCGCTCGCCTCCCGCATCCAGCGCCCTTCCTAGGGTTTGCAAAGCAAAGAAAAGGAAGCACCCCACGGTGGATATTCCGCTCGGGTGGGATATTCCGCTGCATGCCATTAGCGCCATTTTATTCTGTGGATAAGATTATTTCCAGGCTACAAAAACTGGAACTCCAGCTTTCTTAATTGTGCTAGCACTGTGCCCCGTGAATTACTCGTTCTTCTTCTTTTCTTCTTCGTCCTCGCGCAATGGGTGTAGCCGATACGATCATTGGGATTTGCGGCAACATTGCCGCACTCGTTTTGTTCCTCGTACCAGCGTGAGGACTTTTTCAATCAGATTATCACCTGCATGCATGCTGATCTCTTTTGTGGTGCTAATCGAATCAATCACCCCCAGGAAAACTTTCAACACGATCAGGAAGAAGAAATCCACCCTCGACTTCTCTGGGATACCCTATGTCACCACCCTGCTTAATTGCTTGCTTTGGGTCCTGTACGGCCTCCCCGTCAACAAGGGCAACGTCCTGGTGATGACCATCAATAGCTCCGGGATCGTCATCCAGACGGTCTACATTCTCCTCTTCCTCTACTATGCTTCGTCCTGGGCTGCTCGGGTGAGCCAAGGAAATATCTCTCCTTTTTTTGGGGTTTTTTCTTTCTTCCGGATGAAATAGTCATTGATGATCTTTGGTTCTATTACGCAGAGAAAGATTTTGGGCATCTTCGTGTTTGATATTGTGGCCACGGCTGCATTGGGCGCAGGAGTGATCCTTGGTGTTCACAGTAAAGCCACCAGGATTACCATCCTTGGGATTTCATGCGTGGTTCTCAACATTGGAATGTACTATGCACCACTATCGGTTATGGTGAGATAAATTGATTTCCTTGGATCTTTGGGTGTTGATCTTTGTGCTTTCTTTTGCAGTGGCTAGTGATCAAAACTAAAAGCAATGAATACATGCCTTTTCTATTGTCACTCATGGTGCTGATCAACAGCTCCTTCTGGACCATCTATGCCTTTTTGCTTATGGATATCTACATTATTGTAAGTTTGATTGTTAATAGCATTCTTAATCTTAGTATTTTGGATTCTTAGATTCCAAATACACTGGGGCTGGCTGGAGGAATTTTCCAAATGATCTTGTACTTTTGCTACCGCAAGCCTGCCCAACAAGTCGAAGGTGATGCCCGCTCAACAAGCAAGGCTGATGTGGAGATCGGGAGAATGGAACAAAAGCAAAACTCTACCAGGACATTCTAGACCTACTGATTCCAAGCAATAACATTGTTTGCCCATGGCAAAAAGAATAATATCATTTTTTGTTGGACTATTACTATTGATATTGGATGACAGATCGTTTGCTTTTTCTTGGCTGCGAGAGCTCCTATTGCAGATCAGGCACAAACACAGCAAACTAGCGCGCATCTGCTGTTCAGCGCGGAGTGCGAGATCATCTCACAAAACTCTCAAAGAACACCTGCTGCATGGTGGACATCCTCGGACGATCCGGCCGCCTTGAAATTGCCGAGGAGCTCATCACCACAATGGCGTTTCGCCCGCGGGAGTGGAGTACGAAATACGTGCTCCTCTCCTGTGTATCTTTCTGCAATGTCTGGACCCACGAAACGTTGCTCCTTGCTCGGCAAGCACGACCGGTGAGAAGGATGATGATCATCATATTTAGAAGCTCGCTTCCCGTCATATAGTTTTTAAATCCAGCTCGGAGAGCCGTGACGATGATCCAGAAACTTTCATAACTCACGATTGGATTGATCGCTGATGATGCTCTATGGAAAAAGAGATCGATGCTCCTGTCCAGCATATATTTGTAACATTGATTTTCATGGCATCTCGAGACTGGAAGAATTGGTAGTAAGTTCCATTGATATAGGAAGATCACGAGTTTATCTATTATGTATGGTAATGTGGTGCCTACAAAGGGTTTTTGTGCTTCCCTATGCCAACACATAGAGTATGGTTTTCTCCAGGTTTTAAAAAACAATTGTAAAGCTATGCCAGTCATGAGTCTATATTCGGACGCCATTGCATCTAACGCTATGGTGTTAGCATTTGCCGGCAAGGAGCATCTTGTCGCTTTAGATTTGTTTCACGACATGGCGCATTGACCAATGCGCTCGTTTTTAAAACGCAATAGAGGCGGGCACTGGCGTACTATGGCGGCGATGTGGAGGACGCCAAGGCCGTCTTTGACGGCCTCGTGGAAGCCGGAGAATGTTCGAAAGAATTCCGTGGGAAATTGGACCGTGATGCTCTGCGAGCAATTTAAGGAGAGCAAGAGTGTGTTTGAGAAGATGCCGATCTTGGACACGCAAGCGAGCGATGCCATGCTCGAAAGTTTTGCTTCTTCATGCGCTTCATGCCTCCAGGAAGAAGTGAAAGCTGGAATGCCCCGGCGATGGAGCATTTTGATGTCCTCGAGCTCAAGCAGCAGATCGATGGAAGCTAAAAAATCCGTTTTTGATCGCGTTCCACACTGGGAAATCTCCTCATTTGCATCCATGATCCACGCCTACCGGAACGGGGGGCCAGGATCCTGTTCATGGGAATTCCCGAGTGGTTTGGAATTACGTTGACCTTGGCACTAATGGAAACTGATTTCTTTTAGTCGATCGGGGCAAAATGCAAGCGAGATCAAGGCTCATTGCGAACACTCTCGAGGAATGCCGCACTCCCGCGAGAGTGGTGGACAGATTCTTGCCCTAAGTGTTCTAGAGATTTAGTCCTTGTTCCTGATTAGTGACAGGGATGGCCCTCCAGAAAGTTTGAGCTCACAGGACTGAAGCCTCAAGAATTACGTGCTGAAAGACTCGCTGATTATCAGCAAGCCGGGGTTGGATCGTGGCAGGAAGGCATTGCTTTCGCTCACTGCACGACGTGTAAGTCTTTGGCAATGGAGGCAGCTAAAGTTTCGATTCTTTTCCATGATAAGTCTTTTCCGCCATAGCTCCACCTTGAACTTTTGCTTTTGCTTGAAGATATGGTTTTCTGGATTGTCTTTGGTAAAAAGAATGGATGAACCTACAAAGAGCCTCCTCTTATCTCAAGGAAAAGAGACGTCCAATCCGGTCTCCTTCCACTTCACATTCATCATTCATGAGCGCATTAGCGAGCACCTATAGACAAGTTTTACCTTGGTTAGCATTTGCCAGTGGTAGTGCCGCTGCCAAGTTCTCTGGCACTGCCATCGTCGCCACCAAATCGCTGTAGATTGCAAAGAGCGCCAGGACTGCAAGACCGACGACGAGCAGCATCGGGTTTCATGTCTAAAATACAGACTTCTGGTCATGGTTGTGCAGGTCTTTGCGAAGGCCACGAAAAACATCCTCAAGCCAGAGGAAGAGAAACGCACCTAAAGAAGAGAGTAAAGCTCTTGAAACAAAACGCATATATAGTAGAACTTGTATAAACTCTCGAATCCAAATGCTTTGGAAAAAGCATGATGACCAAGGCAACTGCTGGATCTACGAGCATTCCCTCGTTGGTAACTGGAACAAAGTTCCAGGATCTTATCTTCCAACAGCATCGCCATGGGAAATCAAAAATATTTCTACCGTAATCATCTTAAGCATCGAGGCTTCTATTGATCGAAGTATGTACCTTCGAGAGAGCCTTGCTGTGACTGTTCTTCCGGGTTCTCGACGTCCAAATCCAAGAGCAGGCTCCTCCGGAAAGCCCGCCGCAGCGTTCTCGACTCAAGCGGCCTGATGCCCCGCTCCAGATCTCGTTCTCTTTTCACAGCCATCAATCGAGAGAACTGTCCACAAATCGACACTCAGCACCCATAGAGACTCTTCCCACCGAGCTTACTCTGATTTGGAGACGACGATACGTCCGTGGCTTATGCAGCCTCTCCCCCTCTTTCAAGGAACGCATTGCCAAGAGCTTCTCCCTGACGCCTTCCAGAGCCTCCTCAATGGCTCCATCAGACATTTTTCGTATTTCGTCCATGGGCTGCTTCATGCATACCAGCTTGAGCGGCGAAGACGATGTAGCTGGAGCGTAGCAGACATTCTTAGCACCAGTCGCCACACACTGCGTAGGGGAAAAGAAAAAAAGAAATGTTAGCAAACTTTAAGAAGCAGAAAGAACCCAGCTTACAGGATTGAAGAAGGCGCATGCCATCGCTCCTAGCTCCTTGGAGAACCCTAGAGAATAAATGCACAGTAACGACAAGCCGCTGTCATAAAACGAAAAGAAAAAAGGACAAAGAAATCACAGCATAAGCTCTAGAGCTCCGCATTCTTGACGACATCCCAGAGTGACTGAGCAGACTCCTTGAGTTTGAGAACCTCGTTCTCGGTGAGAGTCTGTTCCACGATATGAAGGACGCCGTTCCTCCCAAGAACACACGGCAGGCTGAGGAACACATCGTGCTCAATGCCATGCCTTCCTTTCGCTATGATTGACACCGGATGGATCGCCTTTTCATCTCTGGATGCAGGACGACAAAGCCCATCAGCCACAAAGACATAAAAGAAAGAGTTGGCAATTCAGTACCGAATCAAGCTGTGAACGATGTCCGCAACGGATGCCCCAATAGCCCAGTTCGTGTAGCCTTTGAACTTGATAATTTCGTAAGCGGACTTCACCACCTGTTTCAAGCGGACGAGATGAAACAGAGTAAGAAAATCCCTGCTGGTACACTCTAACCTCTTGGTTGATCTTTTCAACTTCGCTTTCAAGTCCTTCTTTCTCAATAAAATTGAGAAGAGGCACCCCCGCAACGTTGACGCTCGACCAAACAGGGACGCTGCTATCACCGTGCTCGCCTATGATGTAGCCGTGCACGTTCTTTGAGCTGACATCCATACGGCTGGATATCAGAAACCTGAATCTCGACGAGTCCAGATTCGTGCCACTTCCTGCAGGATCAAAATCTCTTAGAAGATGAAAAGACACATCAACTTACCAAGCACCCGGCTCGCAGGAAGTCCCGAGATCTTCCAGGAGACGTAAGTCAAGATGTCCACGGGGTTCGAGACCACCAATAGCAGCGTGTCAGGACTGTACTTGAGCAGTTCGGGAATGATCTTCCTCAGCAGCTCTACATTGCTTTGGACCTGTAATAGGAAGCTGTATAGTCACTACAAATATCTCTACTATATCTTCGCTTACCAGAGCAAGCCTAGATTCATCGTGACTCTTTTGTTTCGCCCCGGCCGTGATGATGCAAATCTGAGAGTTACGTGTGTTCCTGCCCAGGCAAAACGTCAGAAAAACTACTGGTGCTTACCAAAAAAAATTACGCGTAATCGGTGCTCGCACAAATGTCAACATTTGGATTGAAAGCTGCTGCATGCTGCAAATCCATCATCTCGCCCTTGAGCTTATCTCCCATAACATCAATGAGAACTAACGAGCGGCACAATCTCTGTGCAGTAAAACCTCAGATGAGATAGACAATAATAAACAAGAAACAAGACAAAACCTTCGACAAAATGGATGTAGCGCAAGCCATTCCCACGTTTCCAACTCCCACGACGGTGACTTTTGTGACATCCCTTTGAACGATGTCAGCCACAGCCATGCCTCCTAGCAAAACCAAACAATAGCGGAAGCCGTCAATGCGTCGAAGGATTGGATCACACCTGGGACTGGTTTGAAAAAATGCCACACTTCTTGCTGCTGCCGCCCCATCGCTGCTGCTCCAGACGCCAGCTCCCAACCCCAAGAACCCCTTTTTGTCCCTCGCAACTTGACTCGTGGCAGCAACTAACAGTCTTGCGGATCTCGGCCGTCGATTTTGATCGCCACTATATGCTGTCGATCAATGGAGCGCACCTATCTGGGCGATCGCCAGCAATTGGAACTCAGATCGTACCTCCGCCTCGTCAAGAGCTGCAAGGATCTCGTCCAGGCGCACAACATTCACGCCCAGATCGTCCTAACAGCGCATAGCCACGACCGTCTGCTGCTAAACTCGCTGATAGAGATGTACGGCAAGTGTGGCGACGTGGCTACGGCCAGGAGAATCTTCGATGCCATTCCTTCCCGGAATGTCTACTCGTGGAACATCCTGCTCGCGGCATATTCCCAGAATGGGCACCTGGAAGAAGCCATGGAACTCTTCCAATCGATGAAAGAAAAGGACTGTACCTCTTGGAATTCGATGCTTACGGGCTTTTCTCGCGCAGGAGATTTGGAGAGTGCTAGAAGCCTCTTCGATCAGATGCCGCGACGAGACGTTGTGTCCTGGAATGCGATGATCGCCACCTACGCCAAGAACGGGGACAACATTCAGGCCTTGCGTTTGTTCCGATTGATGTGCCTCGACGGCTGCAAGACGAGCGAGATTACCTTCGTGAATGCGCTAGATGCGTGTGGAAACGCTGAAGATCTGGAAGAAGGACGCCGCCTGGACAGGATTATCACCGAGAATCGCCTGGATTGTGGAGTGGAGCTTGGGACGAGCCTGGTGGATATGTATCATCGCTGCCACAGCCCTGACGATGCCAAGATCGTGTTCCAGAGAATGCCGTTCAAAGATCCAATCGCCTGGACCGCGATGATCCAGGTCCACTCGCAATGCGGGGAGCTGGGTCAAGCGCGAGAAATCTTCGACATGAGATTACGACACCCCCGGCCTGTCGCATCCTGGAACGCGATGATCGCTGCGTATTCTCAGAAGGCCCGGATTA